CTTATCATTAATTTGTTTACAGGCTTTCAACTTAGCCGACACATTTGAGATCTCGCACAGAATGATACATCTGTATGAAGTAGTGATCGTCGACTATGAGCTAATTAGGTAGATTAAAATCAAACCAATTGGATACAGATCTGGCTGTAGTGTTGAATAACAATAATGGACTCGAACGGTCTGTTTAGTTCAACAATAATTAATCTTTGCTTCTGTTTTACTATGGTAGCTGGATATAGCGCTTAATTAGTTGGAGTCTTGGAGATGAATAATTCTAGTATATTTGATCTTCTCTCTCATCAAAAGGTCAGCCTGTTTCATTTTAAAATACAAAATAAAGAATAAAGATAACTTCTTGATTATTAGTGTGAAAAAAATTGTATATTCAATTAAAAACAAAGTAAAATTAAAATATTATTGTTGAAATAACTTAGATGATTTGCGAAGATGGGTGTTCAGAATGAGTGTAAAAGTGCTGTGAAGTCATATCCCCCGCCCCCCACACACACGTATATATATAATTTATAATAAGAAGTAGCATTTTCATAGTACCTTCTCTACGTTGTGAATTATTTAGTTCATGATTGAAATTCTATGAAAAGTTCACCTAATTAAATATGAAATATGAAATATGAATATATAAGGAAAAAGATGAAATATCATATATATATATATATATTTGATAGTATTAAATTAATTTATATTTTGATATCTCCAAATTAAAGTCAAAACTTAATTAAAAAAAAGTCCAGTAATTTCTTTTTGCTATTTGAGACTTCTGCCATCTGAATAACGAGGGCGGCACTCATCTTTCAAGATCAACATGAGAGATCGACCATATCTACGTTTTATTTCTCATACACAAATTGTAAAACAGTTATAATTATATATATTTTGCACATTAATTCCTTGCTTTTATTGAAAAGTGATATATCTTTTTTTGGCCATTTACCCCTTTATCGTAAAGAATAAGAGGTGTTAGTCATATTAAAAAATACAACATTTTTTAATATAAGAAAAATTCTAAAAAAATACTAAATTTCTCTTATTTTAGATTAAACTGAACTAGAAAATATCTTACAATGGAGGTCGAAGGGAGTACGTTGGAAAAAAGGGGCCAAACTTGGAAAAGTTGTGACGGTGGATATTCATAAATATCAAAGTGGTCTGGGCACGTCACGTATAATTTGGTGTGGCTTTTGACTTCACGTAATTATTGAATCAATCAGTACTTAAATTTGTGATGCCAATTAATTAATGAATCAATTTATAGTGCTAGTACACGACGAAGTCATCCACGTGTCACCTTTATGAATGCAATAAAAAAGATTAATGTTTGACTAATTTGGAGGATAGTCTTTTAGTCTTATTAATCGTGGAAGACTTTGGAGGCAGCATTATCATCGTTAGCTTTGCCTGTGGGACGACCCTTCTGCTTCCGGATTCATTTTGGAACTTGCTTGATTTCAGATATTTGATTCCAATTTAATTTTAAGTATAAATCAAAGTGAATAATTAGAATTAATTGATTTGGTAAAATTGTCAACATTTTCGCTTCAAGATAATATTGCTTATAAGTTTTAATATCACTAGTTTCCTTTAAAAATATAAGATATTTTAAACTATATCTCACATCTAATAAATTAATTAACTATTTTAAAATTAGTATAATGTTTTTATGTATTATTTTTTGAATTATAAAATAATTTTTGAAAAAAATTCTACGTCCTAAAAAATAAGATAGTTTGACAAAAATAAATTTTTATTAATAATATTTTTATAAGATTATCATTTTTCATGTATTCTCTCTTCTTAATATTCTTTAACAAATTATAAAGTATTAAATGAAGAATATTTTTAAATTTTTATTTTGAAAAAGTAAGATTTTAAAGTTTATTTAATGAGCTTTATTAATATATGTGATTTTATCTAAAAGTGCCTTATAATTTGAGACGGATGAAGGATTTATTTTTATTTAATAAGGTGTTTCACTAAAAAAATAAATATTAAATGATTTATTTAACTATATATTGAAATACTAAAAATGTCGTATATTTTAAATATTTAACCCCTTAATCTTACATTTTTTTAACAAAGGAGCATAAAAATATAATTTATGAAATTGTTTGGTTACTAGTAAGGATAGGAATAGAATGTATTAAAGAAATTAAAATAAAAATGCATAAACTAAATTATCCTCCTCTCATGATTCCCAATCAATTATCTTTCCTCCCTAATGAATATATGATTGGTATATCTTCCCTCCATATTTTGATCTTTTTTTATTGCCTTGGTTTCTTTAGTTCATTCCTTTCTCATTTTTCTAACAATCAATCGGCTGCAAGGCGTGGTGTCAAAATCTATGTATTATATTAAAATTAGTTTTTTTCTCCTTATTTTTACCCTTTATTTAATTATACCTAGAATTGTAGGTCACATCGAGTATTTTGATCATTTTTAGGGTAATTATTAGATATTTAGCTTTATATACTCAATATATTTTTATCCAATTAAATTAAAACATGTAAATTTTAATGTATTAATAATATTTAATAATAATGGTTTGTTTTTGAATAAATAATCTATAAAATAGTCACATATTGCAAACAAATACATTAAATATATAAAATTAAATATATAAGTTTTTACCTACTTTCTCTATTCTTATATATAAGAGGTTTTTTTAAAAAAATTTTGTCTCTAAATATAAGAGGATGTTAGAATATTTTTAATGAGTGGATTATTATATCCTAATTAAATTGAAAAGAGAAAAAGATAAGTATTCTCATTAATTTACTTTAAAAAAATTATTTTTTATTTATAATAATTAAGAATAAAATTGAAATGTTGCTATAATTTTTTATTAAAAATATCTTGTAAATAAGGGTAGAGAGAGTATCTTTTTAACTTTAGTTTGATTTTTTGTGTGTAATTTCATAAATTCATGATTATCTAGTGTCTTTTCGCCCCACAGTGATCATTCCATGTCATTCTTTCATTTGCATTTTTGGACCTCATATTATTATTACATGTTGATATAGATTAAATATATAATGCAGACAAGTAGAATGATTGGGATGGGTTTGATAACTGATTCATCAGTTTGGTTCAAACCAAATTAAATTGAAACAAACCAGACAAAACCTTATTCAACGTTGATTTTGTGTGAAATGATTTGTTCAATGGTGAACAGCCTTATACACTTAGAGATTCATTTCATTGCTCTACTTGAATTCTTGTGTGTGTATATATAGATGTATGTGTGTATATATGTATGTATCTATTTATATATATATATAGTCCTATCAAATACAAGTCAAATTCATGCTTTTTATATATTTCCTTCCAGTTTGGTACAATTATCTCGAGATATACATGAATGAATCCACCCACATCGTCTAATAATGTCTTTCCGTAACATTAAATTCTAATTTTAGTTAGTTTGTCATCTTTATGAATTTACAAAATTAAGCAGGGGAGATTTTAGTTATGTCCTAAACCAAACTTTGCCCGAGATTAAGCAACAAATGAGCGCATAATTTGCATCATGCATGGTATCCTCTACACCTGCATTCATATATTTTTTTAACACAAGGCCACAGTGCAGAAAAAAATAGGGCTAAAGAAATCAGAATGTTTTTAAAAATTTCATTTACAAATATTCTAAAACTATATAAATAAAAATATTAAGATGAATCCATCTTAATCTTCATATTGCTGAGATCTATGTAATTAAATAAATAAATAACTTTTTCTACTTTATTTCTAAATAAAAACAATAACGGACCACTGGCTTTCTATGCTTTATTTTTTTTAAAAAAAAGTTTTCACTAAATTTTGCGACAATAATTATAAAATAAATTCTCGCCATTATTTTCTTAAAGAAAAAAAGTACGACTTCTTATCCAGTAGTCATGGCAGTATTTTATGGGAGTCGATTTAAAATTCGGTTCAGAATCTAAAACAACGTTGGGAACCTCCGATGATCCGATCTGCCCCGTATAAAATCTTCAGGTATCTGAGTGATGGACACTTGGCACCGAGTCGACTTAGACCAAACAACACGGCCGCATGCTCGGGTCATTTGCTCATTTCACTGACACAGTCACACGTTTTCACGCAACCACTAATGTTTGGCCTTCAATCCCAATTCCCAACGCAAAGATCTTCCACTGAACAACTCATAAATCCCTCAAATTTGTGCACCAAACTTTATAAATTAGGTACCGGCTCAAATTTTGTATGCTCCTGTGTCATGTACATTTTATTCTGTAGTAAGCACAATGTTAAAGTTTCACGAACAATAAAAATGATCTATTTTGAGATAGTGAGGGCAAAAAATAAACTTCTCATAACTATGTATGTTTAGGAATACATAAAGATAGCCAGAAATGAGAACCTTTATCACTCCTAATAACTTTAATTAATCATATATTTAATAATATACCGTTTGATATTTTTTTTGGGTCAAAATCATATGAGATTCTACAGTATTGCGCATTATATATTTGATTCAATCTCTATAGTAACTCTTTTAATAATTTTTTTTGCCAAAAATATAAAGTTTTATAATGAATTAACTTTCACTGCTATTTCTACTAGTGAATGGTGCTATGGTAATACTTTAATTATATTTTAACTTGACATTGAGCCTTCGAATACACACACACATATAATTAGATTAGCTATTAAGAAGAGGATGATGAGCAAATCTTTTAATTTTATTGGAGAGGGATCTCTCTATTATGAGAAATGCCACCAAATGAGAATTTAGAGATCTCACACAAACACGCACAAGATTGCGGAAAAAGGCGTTCTAAATATCACGTCATGAAGTTGACATGTCTAGCATCTTACTGTGTCCCATAAACAATTACTATGATGACAACTCATCTACATCCACGTGTCAAAATTGAGCACCGAGTTCGCTGCGCGGGCCTTTCCTTCTTTCAGAGTCTCCCGCGATATATACACGGCGCCTGACTTAACCCTTTCTTCATCGTCCATCCAGTCTCTCACTCTGATTCCACTTAAGCGACGTCCTCCTGGAGATCTTTCGCAGGTTCAGAAATTACCTCAACACCAAACCCAACAACAACATGAAGATCAAAGATAGTCCTCTCCCTCAAGACGCCTGCAGCTATGTCTTCAAACAAGAAACCCACTTCACCGTTCTCAAGACCTCCCTCTTCTTCGCCGGCGATGGCTTCACCGTCTACAACTCCAACGGCCACCTCGTCTTCCGGGTCGACTCCTACGGCCCCAACTCCCGCCTCAAAGACCAAGTCGTCCTCATGGATCCTCGTGGCCGCTGCCTGCTCACTGTCCGCCGCAAGGTACTCCTGTCCGACCATATCTTGAATTTGATTGTCTTAGAAAAAAAAATTTCTGATTTACTTGCATTCTTTAGTATAATGTTTGAGGTAATTGGATTAAAATGGGGTTCGTGGTGTTTGGTTTGCGAATTTCAGATGCCGAGTTTGCATCAACGGTGGGAGGGCTTTAGAGGGGAGAGGATGGACGGAGACAAGCCGATCTTCAGCGTGAAGAGATCGTCGATGATCGGACGGTCGAAGGCGACGGTGACTGTGGAGATGTACGACAGTTCCGGGGAGGAGTACCAGATCGAAGGGTGTTTCTCGCAGCGGAGCTGCAAGATCTACGACGCGAAGAGGAAACTGGTGGCGGAGATTCGTCGGAAGGTGGACCCCACCACGAAGGTGATGCTGGGGAAGGAAGTGTTCTCTTTGTGCGTCAAGGCTGGATTCGATGGGGCCTTCGCCATGGCATTGGTCCTAGCTCTAGATCAGATGAACGGTGACAGTTACATCGATAATGGAACACCACAACCTGTGGTGCACCCTTCCGCAGAAGATTAAGGATTTGACAATTTAACACCCTAATCTATCTCTGGATTTTGAAGAGTTCCTTTACTTTTGACGAGGAAGCTCTTCTTCATGGTCATAATGGTAATACCAAATGCACCCTGCTTGGAGAAGACAAATCAAAAGCCATCTTGTAAATTTTTCAGTGATGACAAAAAAAAACTACATTTTTGTTGGCTTTAATTAATGTATTTTTAAGCCTAAAGATTAATCTCATAGATGGAATGCTATATATGGTACACGTGAAATATTCTTAAATCTCACGCAGGCAAGCTTTGGTGTTCATTGCAAAGATAGGTAATTTATTACTCATCAAATTTGTGGATTTTTACGGGATTGCCCTATTCAACTATTATTAGTCAGAGAGGCTTTTGCACTATTCACTGATCAGCCTTCTATTCTCATTTATTTTCTTTTATATATTTATGTTAATCGGAAAAATGGAAAACGACATAATCGCAATATCACTTCAAGCAGTAGGTTTCCTTTCCATGATCATTTCTTCCGAAATGCTACTGATGAAATCTTATGGCTTAGCAAGCTAGCGATGTTTCCAATCTCCTTAGTCCTCTGATTTTTTATAGTTACTACTCACACATGGCTACTTTGTATTTCTGTTCTTTGCTTAAAGATTTCAGCCATGCTTTTGTTCGATGAATGATGGGACACTAAAATGTGTACAATCTTCTTAACAAGAATTCCAATACTATTAAAGTAATATTATAGTTTAACTTGCGAGTTTCTCACTAGTGCAGAATTTGAATTTTACAGAAAATTTTTAACCTCAATTAACACACACTTGTTGTTGAAAGTAGAGGCGGTGATATTTTTATAATTCTCAATAACTTTCAGCAATAGGTAAAGGAAACTTGCTGTTGAAACTCTACTTTCAACAGCAAGTACATTATACCCGCTGTTGAAAATATATATTTAAAAATAAAAAATAAAATTATTCAATTTTTAACAACAAGTGCGTTATATTCATTGTTAAAAATATGCATTTAAAAATAACAAATAAAATTATTTAACTTTCAATAATGGGTGAAATCCACCTGCTATTGAAAATATAATAAAAAAAAATCTATACTTTCAACAGTGGGTGGAGAGCACCTGCTGCTAAAAGTGCCATTAAAAAAAAAATGGTGCACTTTCAACAACGGGTGATGTATCACCCGTTGTTGAAAATTATTCAAATTTTTTTTCTAATAATAAACTCGCCTCCCACTCTCCCTCTTAATTATTCGTCATCTTCTTCCTCTTTCAAGTTTTTTTTTTTTTTAAAATAGGACTTTTAACATTGGTTCTTCCATAACTACTGTTAAAAATAAGACTTTTAACATCAGTTCATGCCATAACCGATGTTAAAAACTCACTTTTAATAGCGGTTATGGCATGAACTAGTGTTAAAAGTCCTATTTTTTTTAAAAAAAACTTCAACGAGCAACTTTTAATAACGGACCTAGACCCATTGTTAAAAGTTTATTTTTGATAGTGATTGTAGAATCGCTGTTGAAAGAAACATACATTTAACATTTCTTAAAATAACAACAAATGTAGAACTGCTATTAAAAGTATTTTTTATCTGCTGTTAAAAACCTATCGTGTAATAGTATCTTTATTAGTTTTATGTTGCACACATATATTTCGGTTTCTTTTATGGTTTAGTTTTGATAACACCGTGTTGTTTCTTTATTTTTCATGTTGGCTTGTGATTCCACAATCCAATTCGTGGATTTATTCTTTTAGATCTTTTTCCTCTTTGTTTGAAAACGGTTTAATTTTACAACCGACTCTATTTAAATTTGTTTCATGCAAAGTGTTTCTAGATATGACTGGAATAGAGAGAGTAGTTTAAGTCGCCCTGACAAAGAATCATTTTGATTTGCTTAAAAAGTTCCTTAATATATTCAAAAGTATGTTTAGCATGCATACAAATATTATTACTCGCTAAAAGAATGAGGAATCGTGGAATAAAGGGTTCGATGAAAAGAGATTCCATATATTTTATGTTGAATTAAAAAAGACCGATCAAGAGGGCTTCGATTGACTTGCCTTTTTGTTTAACTATTGAACATAAACTTTTATTCTTGTGTGATTAATACTTTATGTTATTTAAGAGGATCTTCAAGAGGGATCAGCTGCATGGAAGAAAGAAAAGGTTAAAAAAAAAAGAATCAAATTATGTGTGGTAAAAATAATAAAAAATAAAAAAAAACCTCAATTCCAGAAATATGTAAAACTGTACCAATTAATACGGAGATCAGGTCCTTTATTCGTATGCATGTGTGTCCATTTAAATTAAGTCTCTTTAATATAAGAATAATTTTAAAAAAGTTGGTTGGTACTTATTATAATAAAAACCTTTCTCATTTATATAAGTCATTTATTATTTTTTTCTCTTAATATACGCTTTGTTGTTTTGGCTTCCTCTCCCCCCCACACCAATTAAGAGAAATTAGGATATATAAGAAAACGATGACTTAATGAATTCTTTTGAATGATAAAATCAAAAACTTGTAAGTTAAGAGCATATATTCACACACACCTAACATTAACAAAAATTTTGGGATAATGCAATTTTTAATCCTTGATATCTAGGAGAGTTATCGATTTAATTTCTATCTATTTGATCACTTTCATCCACTCTTTCAGAAGACTATTGAGCAAAGAAGAAGAAAGTGATCTCAGGTTCGCTCGGTGGACGGCTAGCTAAGTAATGAAGGTAATAAAAAGTTGAGATTCAAAGTAAGGGCAGAAGAGAAAGCATATATTATGGGCGTGTAAGGTGGAAAGATAGCATCACACACAAGTGATGTATCATTTTCATTTGATAGTTGAAAGCCAGAGAGACATATTCCTCAAGAGCACACGCCAAGGTACGTTCATGTTCTCTATGGCTGATCAAAGAAACCCAGTTGTGTGTGTATTTAAAGCTAAGAATAGGACTGGCCGGCTAGTGCTTCCCAACGCATAAATACTCTTCAACCGCTGTTTCAATACTGAGCCGACCACCAAGATTCCTTCACTTCGCTTTTTTCCAATTACAGGTGTAATTCATCTATTATGACAACCACTAATTATTACTAATATTATTAATTAGTCCCATTTCAACTTAAGACTACTCACTTGTAACTATACACACTACCGAAAAAAAAAAAAGACTTTGAGCGGCAATTGTCAACGGTGAATTTAAAAAGTTGCTGCTAAAAATGAACAATCTATGGCAACAGTAAAAGTTGCCACTAAAAGTGTGACTTTCTACGGTGACATTTGAAGTTGCCGCTAAAATAGTGACTTTCTGCCACGACAAGATATAGCTGTTGTTGATTGTCAAACTTTTAGCAGCAATAGATACATGTCACCACCGAAGGTCTAAGTTTGACAATTAGCGGTGACCTTTTAGAGTCACTACTAATTGTCAACATATTTTAAAATATGTTATAATTTTTTAAAAAACTTATGTTATAAGTTTTAGCGGTGACATATATGTCGCTGTTAAAAGTTGAGAATCAACAATGACTTTTCAGTGTCGCTGCTGAAAATGAGACTTTGAGAGGTGACTTTGAATGTCGCTATTGAAAGTAAAGTCGTTGCTGAAAGTTTGATTTTGTATTATTATTATAATTTTTTATTTTTATTTATCTAATATTTAAAATTTTAAAATATTAATTTTGTTGTATTATTGTAATTTTATAATGAATATATAAAATAACGTAATGAGTTTTCATTTAATATATTCTATGATTAAATTATAACTTTAAAATAACATTAAGGTATTATTTAATGCTAATGATCTAGAGTAAAGAATTAAGGTAAACCATATTATTTTATGTGTGTGTTTGGATTAAAAAATTTACAATTAAGGATTAAAAAATTTACAGCCGAGGTTAAGATTTAATTGAGATTAGCAAACTATGGTTGGAAGAAAAGTCAAAAAATGTAATATGATTTATGTTTAGATATTTTTTTTAGACGTCAGTTAGATAAACTGAAATTTATTTGAATAATTTAATTCAAAAGCCAGTTAAGATGTTTAATGACTAAAATAAGTATGAAATTTTTAATATATATTTTTTGACTAATTAATAACTAAAAAATTAAATTTAAAATTATAACTAATAAGTGAAAAATCTTAAATATTCAAGATAGAAGAGAAGAGAGAGAAAGCATAAGCCATCGGATCAATGTTGAAGTTAATAACACTACTTGTTTATAATAATTAGATATGTGATACTTAAATTTATTCATTCATAGAATGATATTTCATCTAATCTAATTTTTCAATTCAAATTTTACATTTAACACTAATAACTTTAAAGCTAGATGCTAGTTTAAAAATATAAATAATTATAAACTAATGTATAATCATCAATATTTTTACTATTTATTCTTAGATATTTTTTATATTATAATTATAAATATGAATATTAAAATATATGATATAACAACCTCAAGAAGTAAGAAAATTAAAATAAATAATACAAATGATATTATATCATTTATATTTATAGTTTACTTTAAACAAAATAAATAATATAATTTTCAATTTTATAAATTAAAAGAATTGAATTGAAGCATTTAAGGATAGTAATGATATTTTATAATATTTAATATTTAATATATATGTGTGTGTGTTTGTATAGTTTAATTATATATATATATATATTTAATTATGCAATAATATACTACAGGTTTATTCTAACTCAATAGTAAAATGGTTGGACACAAAAAAAAGGAGATTATGGATTCAAACCTTGAAGGAGATAACTTTCAAGATAGAAATATAAATTGATGACATGATGATACGTGGTGTGTGGTGGGAGTGACATGTGGAGGGTGACATAAAGCTACATGGCATGATGTGGGGCGACATGTGGAGGGTGACATGGCGCCATATGGTGCGAGGTGGGGCACTATGTGGAGGGTGACATGGTGCCATGTGGTATGAGGTGGGATGCCATGTGGACGGTGATGTGGCACCATGTGTACAAGTAAACCAACATTATTTTTTAGTGGCAACAAAAAAATCACCACTGATTGGTAGTTTTCGCGGCGACAAATGTCACCACTGATACTTAACATTTAGCGGCAACAAAATAGTTGCTGTTAATGTGTGGTTTTTGCGTCGACAAAATGTCGCTGTCGATTTTTAACTTTTAGTGGCTACTATCTTTCGATAGTGAAAAATTTTCTTTTCTACGGTGACATTTGTCGCCATCAATTCTCAACTTTCAATGGTGACTTTTATTGTCATCGCAAATTAAATCAGCAACAAGAGCACTTGCAATAACATTGTGGTGATTTTTTATCGCTACTGAAAACTTTCAGCAACAACTTTTTAACATTTAGTGGCGACAAACGTCGCTGCTAAAAATTAATTTTTTTGTAGTGACATCTAGTATACATTCACTTTTAACAATTTTACTGACAAATTCTCACATGAAACTTGTTGCACCATGTTATCCTCATTCTATATAATAAAATTGCATGTGTTATTATTTTTAATGACTTTATTTTTAGAATATAGTGTCTTTTTAATTTCTTTTCTTTTCTCTCCCTACCATCATCAATGATATAGAACCAATTTATATTGTAGTCATCTTACATGGCATGCTTTCATTTGATACTATAGAAATGACATGGTGCACAAAGTTTGATCTATGCAAGAATCTCTCCAATTTTACCTCTCCGTGTAGCTAGTACAATTAAGACTATGCAATTACAAACAAGTCATGAGAAGTCTAAACAAAAAAGTTTCTACATCTCGAGAGTCAAGAGGAGCAAGGTGCTAAAAACTAAATCGGTCATTAAATTAGTCAAGGCATTAATTGAAGAGTTAATGATTAAAGCTGCACTCGAAGCGCAATCAAATCGATCATAAATAAAGAATTTTATGATTTAAATCAAGATACTAGTTTAACAGTTTATTAGATCATCTAGATAGATTGACCTAAATTTTCACATTATAAAAGGGAGAACATTGAAAACCCTAACATCAAAACTATCATGTGCTACATGAGGCCGCGCTTGCAAGCTAGTCAACATAATGATTCACTTCTTTAAAAATGTTGTCTATGGAAACCTGTCAATCATGCATGAGCAGACTTTTAATCGTTCCGCCGATAGTACTCATGTGAGGATGGTTCTAGTTATATTTGTTTTGCATGAGCTGAACAGCTTCTATCGAGTTACAATGAACATTAATATTACATGAGAATGTGTTCCTTTTGAACAGAGTTTGAGTCCTTTAAGAGTCCCTAAGAGCTCAGATGTAGTGCCGTATATAGCTATCACTTCATGGCTAAGCTAGGGAATGAGAATTCGCATAGAGGAGGAAAATGGAATCGTATTCCTATAAAATTGTGTTGGTAGGTAGCCTGCCATGCATATATAATGATAAAGGAATATCCCTCCACTACGAATTGAAGCATCCATGGATTGATTGATCAATCCTACCACATTACACATATCCCACATTAATGTCTTTTAATTCCACACTGTCAATTATTTGAGAAGACAGCACAGTTACTTATGGTAACGGGGCTTCGTGATTTTTGTCACCAAGAATCGAGAATTAATATTATTATACCTATGCTAGTCCATTGAAAAGTTGAAATATCGTTAGCTAGCCATGACTTGGAGGTGTCAATCAATATTCTCTTTTAATGCCTATAGTTCAATTAGTTGATTGTCCATTCATCACTTTGTCTTTTTCGTCAACTATTAAAACTTGTTACTTGTTTCTGTGTTTGTGTAAATACCTAATATGGTGCTACAATTTTCTTTTTTTAAGAAATCGACACAAGAGATTTTTAATGGAGTTACATTCCTCAATTAGTTATTTAATTGTTTTTAAACTGGTAAACGCATTTTCATATTTGTGCAATAGGGTGTCTTACTTAAAATTGAAAGGTTGAATATTTTATTTATTAATGATGGTAATTTTGAAAAAAAATTCTTTAATTATATATTAAAAAATTAAAAATACCTTATATTTTTAACACGTAATATAAAAAAATGTTTTGTATTTTTTAACAAAGAGATTATAATGTAATTTAATTTGCACATAAAGATTGATTCCGCACATCTCCCAATGGTTTAATTTACACTAGACGATTTCCTGTGGAGGGCTTGTTCAAGATGATAATAGAAATTGGAGATGTGGTTTCATGAAGAAATTCAAAGGGTTATTATCCCAATGCTATTTTTGTGAGTTGATGAGTATTCCGTAAAGGATTAATCTCTATGTTGGGTTTAAAGTTATAGAAAGATACGACTGTTTTCTAATTTTATGAAAGCAATTCATAGTATTTAATTTGCAAGAAAGGTATAATTGAATATTTGTTATTTATGAAAAGATTAGAAGATTGTTAAAGTAAGATTATATTGAGAGATATCATGCGAGCATGTGTCACTTATATGGATCATAGTAGAATATAATAATCTTTGAGAACATTTTTTAAACCATTAGGTCTCTATCTTTGATGAGTTCCAAAACAAAACTGTTTTTAATAGGGAAAAAAGCCTAGTGATAACGTTTTAAAATACAAAATACAATAGTTCAAATTTCTTATAAAAACAAGTAAAGTTGACCAAATTCATGTAACAAGCCACATAATCGACAAATCTAACAAAGATATTATTTAAGATATTATTTAAGAGAAATAATTGAAGGGTTACATGCATATAAAAAATTACCCATAACTAGTGATAAGCTTCACATGAACATAACACATATACAATACCCACCAAGGTCCTACACACCCTCTCCTATCGTTAATATTAGACAAACTTTAAAAGCTTTGTTTGGTCTTAATGTAAGATAAAGTTAGAGCAATTAATATATGAAAGAATTACATTCAAGGACCACTCAAAAAATTATTTATAAATAATGACCAATATAAATTGGATTATTGTTAAAATAGGAATATGACTTATTTTTTTAGAATTAGACTTGTTGGTTCTTGTCTATGAATAATTTTTTTGAGTGGTTTTTGGATGTGATTCTCCCTTAATATTTTATTCCAATTTTATCTCTTGTTTATTTATTATTGTTCGAATTCTTAGACAACAATTTATTATGTTATTAATTGCCAAAAAGGAAAAAATTAAAAAAATTTATTTTTTTTTAACAATTTTAAGGACATAAATCACATAACTATCAACAAAGTTGATTGAGTTTGCCTTGTATTAAGAACTGGAGATATACTCCCCTTTATTTTATTATAAGTTACTTTTAACCGCCAGATTGAAATTAAGAAACGGTGGTCAATTTAATAAATATGTCTTTCAACCCTGTTAAAGAATATGAATTTTAAAAAATAAAAATATTTTTTTATGAATATGCTACATTCTCTCTCATGAGAAACAAAGTTTTAGAGCAAAAGAGAGAGAAACACAGCATTCGAAGAATCATACAGAAATATTGAAGTAGAATTAAATTATCCTTTTAGTAATTTTCTACAGGAGTAAGATTAAAAAATATCAATTAATAACTTTCTATATAGTTTACATTAAAGGCTAGAAATCTTCTACAAGCCGCTTATAATAACAGAGGTAGTATATGGCAATGTAAGGTGGGGAAGATCCTAATAGTTCTCAAGCAAAATTAATGGATTGTAGAAGTAACAGTGAGGGTACCTATAAGATAAGTGGTGAATAGTGATGGGTACATACAACCCCCTCCACCAATATACAAGAGATAGCCCTGTGCCGGCCACCTTTATTCTTATAATGTCCAATTGCAAGCGCATATACTTTTGTTGTCCTACTTTGCTCCCATTTTCAACCCTCCATTCTTAAAAAAAAAAAAAACCCAGGAATCTCTTTCCCCAGGTTTGATATAAACTAAAGCCAAAAAATAAAGTAAAAAAACTAAATTGTTGATTCTTACCAATGGACTTTTGAAGAGGAAACCAAGCATTCACTGAACATTTTAATAGAATGTGAATTGCATTACGCAAGTCAAATAGTTCCCTCTTTGTGTAAGAAAAAGATGCCATGTATTAAGATTCAAATATTTTAAATTCTTATATTTTACTTTATAAACAATTTCAAAAGTTTGCGGGAATAATCTCTTTTAATTTCTTTTTAACCGACAACCATAAGCAAGTGGAATGAGTTTTTTTTTTTTTTTTTAAGAAAGATTATTATCTGTTTGCGGGAAATGTCAAATGCGCTTTTCTTTACACACACACACAAGTTTAGGTGACACATTAACAAACTTAAAGGTAGCTCATAGAAATGCTTACAAATCACCTACTGATAAAGTTATCACATCAAACATGAATTTGAATCCACAACTTTACTCCTTATAGGTTAAATTTTTACCAACCAGACCAGCCAATGAATGCACTTATCCAGGTCAAGAGCGAACTAACATGCAAGTAATTCTTCAACTTCAACAGACAGTCCACGCTTTTCATGGCCTAACAATTTGAAAACCCATCTTTATGTCTCAGTTTAGACCCAACACGGAAAAAAAAAAAAAGAAAAACATGGAAGAAATCCAACGAATAGGCTGCTGTGTTGTCGGGCTTTAATCCAAGGCGTCATCAATAGTATATCATTTCCATCGTATTATGCGAGTTCTTCTGACTTCCCCAAAAAATGTAATCAACTTTCACGTCCCAGGCAATACACCGTCCTGGTACCTCGAGTTTCTACTTAGCTAGTAATCATGGTGCCTAAAGAGAAGTGAACTAGCAAATTCATGTACCTCTGTAAAACTCAAGCTCTTCCCGGAAGGAAGCTTCTTTCTTCTTGACACAGTTTGAGATTTAGATTAAACAAGCTTACCATCCCAATCAATCAAAACATCACAACACGTACGAGAGCGAGAGATCAGAACCTCAACCACCACTTTTCCCACTACGCAAGTGCGAATTAGATGACTAACATTGAAGTTTTACAGTCAGAAATCTAAAGAGCGGCAGCACTATGGAAGATCTAGAGCCTAAACTAACAGAAGGTACAGGTCACGTTTCAAATGATTCCCTCCTAGGTAAACCCAAATGAACAAAAAATAAGAGACCACAGTCATCCAGGATGTCTCAACAAGATAGCTGGAATAACATTACAAGAGTCAAAGGGTACTACTACACATTAGTACAGTACAGTACAGTGCATTTCAGCATGCCACAGGGTGGGCTGATGAATGTTGAGCGGCTTCACTGCGCACATCTGCATTAACTCTCCCATTCTCAACTCTCTCTTCATCAATCTTCATCCCCATCTCCTCCGTTTGAGTTATCGTCTTCTTGACATCAGCTTCCCCGTTCACCTGTACAGTGACGCCGTTTTCTTTCTGTGGTTCAGCGTTCAAAGTTTTTACACCAGTTTTTTCCTCTGCTGCAACTTCTTCAGCTTTCTCTTGACTTTTAGTGTTTTCCTCTGCATCACCCTGCAGCTTATTATCATTATGAGTATCAGTTGTTTGTTCAGTTTGCTGTGTTTCATTCCAGTTCTCAAACCCCTTTTTTCTCTCTCCTGTTTCTCCCTCCTTATGAGCATCATCCTCTGCAGCCTTGGGTTCTTCTTCTTTAGCAGCAGACTTTCCCTTGCCTCCTCCTTCTGAAGCAGGTTCTGTTTCCTTCGGATCTTTCTTTGAACCAGATGATTTTCGAGCTCGCTTCTTTTGAGGCTCAGCATCTGCTGGAGGAGTTGATTTCGCCCTCTCGCTGATCCTGGCTGATCGCCGAGGGGTCTCACCAGTTCCCCAGTCAAACTCAGATACAGCAGGATTGCCAGGATGTGCCTTTAGGTACTGCTCCAGTTGTTTCCTTCCACTGATCTCCTCCCCAGTAGGAGCTATGAACACAATCTCACTTTTCCTCGGTGTTCCCAATTTCTTTGGGAAAAACTGCAAAATGGAACTAGTAGCATGTCATACAAATAATTTCCATTTAGCATAAAACCAAACCAATTAGTTTTTCACTTTCATCCATTACAGTATATTGTTGTTACTGACAGTTTTCAGGAACATGCATGTGTGTGTCTGAGAAATGGAGGGGAAAAACAAATACTTGCACAAGAAATTATGAAAAAAAGCCAGCCCCTCATGATGTTTTTTAACAGAACCATGAATTTGAATAAAACACACTGTGACTGCCTGTTTATATTCAACTTCAGCCAAAGTTAATCTTTTGTAAATGATGGTTTGTTTCCTGGAAAATCACACAATTTCATAAGCCTCACATTTTACAGGGGACAGAAAGGACAAGAAAGGAGACAATACGTGCCAAGTAACATTAACTATATTTAAAAAAGTAAGCCACATTCAAATCCTGCTCACTCCCCCAAGTCGTGACAAATTTGCTAAACACAATCCCAGACCATTAAAAAATTCCCTTCCAAGCACAAACAAAAAGGAAACAGCTTTAGGGAAGACATGCATAAAATTTGAAATTTGAACATCATGGATAATTTTAAAAAAGAAAAAAAAACTAAAAAGATGAAGAAGATGACAGCAATAATTTTCCTTCGCACAACTTTCGCATAACCTAAGGTTACTACTTACTACAGAAGAGCGCGTTTAGACAGTTGGTCGCAACTAACAAATCATTCACTAGTAATTTAAAGACCAAATTTACTATAACAAAAAATTAATACATGAAGCTTGAGGAAATTCAAATCCACAATCCATAGCAAGAATAGGCTTAGCCACAGGGTGCAACTAAGAGATTAAGTCAGGAAATTTACTCCTTAAAATTACATGTTATATTAATAGACCTTGAAATACTGACAATATGACAAGGAATAGACCAATAACTTTAACATGAGGTCTTTACTTGTAATTTTATAATATAAATTAATCTTTTAAAAAATAATATTTTAAAAAAGTTCTAAATTTTCAAATTATAATTTCAAGAAAAAAAATTGAAAAATTACATCCAAGGACCAATACGCTAACACAGGTCGCCAAAAAGTATAATCATCTCTAAAGATCAAAATCATTATCCTGATTTAGGAAACCTACAACTAGATTTTCCAAAATATCATATCGCATTTTCACTTCGGTTAAATTGGATGAAAAATCTTTTAAAATGTAACAAAAAATTTAGCCTTTAAGATATACAATACTTTGGATACTAAGATATCATCTTCTCGACATAGTTTCAGTGTGGAAGAGCTGTACAGTAATTTTTCCCTCCGCAGTCTCTTGGTCTCTCACCACGATTCAATCAACCAGAAAGACGGTCCATTTAAGACACAATTCGTGACAAAAAATCATAAAAAAAAAAAAAACCAAAGCAGCTCAAAAACCAAGCACTGCGAAAGAAATGCCAAAATCATATAGAACCAAGCGAAGAAGGAAACAACCAAGCTTCTTAAACCCAATCTCAGCTTACCAGGTCACGCTTGTTCCTCAATATTCTAATATTTCCCCGGAAAGTCGTGTACTATCCATTCTTTTGTTTCCTTCTATTCTAGGGTTATGGTTAGGTGCTAAGAGGCATGGATAAAGAGGAAGTCTCTATAAGAAGTAACAAATTCCATTTGCCTAGAAAGTTAGTTAGCTATTATTTCCGGTTTCTTTCTCTTGCCTGTTTGTTTGTTAATTTAAAAAAAAAAAAAAGTTGCACCTAAAAATCTAAAACATGATAGTGCGATAGTAATTCTCATGAGAAACAGCCAAATCCTAGCAGAGACCCAAAATGAATCACTAAGTATAACAGCTAAAGCAAAGAACTTTATCATTTACTAGAGAGAACCAAGAACAGAACTAAACCAAGCAAACACAAGAAATTTAAAAACAAAGGAAGGAGAGGAAGAGACCAGTTTCTTCCAGGCCGGAGGAGCTGGAAGCTCAACAGAGAGGACCTCATCTTTTGCAGCGGTAGGCGAATCGTCGGCCATTAGAGCTGCAACACGGTGCGTTTATCTGAAAAAGAAGGAAGAAAAGAAAGGAGAAAGCTTGAGAGAGATTGGCGGCTGGTGGGGGAGAGAGAGAGTGAGTAACGGTGAGAATACAAACCGTTGTTGAGGCGGTGATAAAACTGGTAATAGATACGGATTTGGTGGCCTTTTTGGACCCTGCTTTGTTTCTCTCTCCTTTTTCTGTGTAAAGTTATGTGATATGTCTCCCGTTCTTTCTTTCTTTCTTCCCACTTCCGGGGCCTGAAAAGATAACATAACCCGCTCCGAAAATTTGTGTTTTTTATTTTTGTTTTGTTAAAAAAGGATTTCACCGTCGGTGATTTTGATTGCGGGCTTGCGGTCCCAGAGATTGCATCTTTGAGAAATGTTGGTACGAGAAGGACGCGTGGTGAGGATAGGGCGATGAGGCGCGTGGTGAAGGCAGGGGGAGGGAGGTAGCGTGACGAAGAATTAGGGAGGGCCAGCCAGGTGTCGGTCGCACGTGAAAAGCTTGGGGATAAGGTTGAGGGGTTTGAAGCGGAATGAAATATGGGTTTGAATTCCGAACCCTGTCTTGCTTGTGGGACCACTCTTTTGAGCACAACTCATAATTGGAATATGAAATTTGATTGAATAATTCGATTTCGAAGTTGGGTTTCTGGTTGCCAGCATCATGTGGTGTGGTGCAGAGCAAGTAGCTTCTGAGAAAGGTGTAGAAGAAGAAGAAGAAGAAGCTGAAGAAACAAGACCGGGAGGTGGAGGGTGAGTGGGTGACTAGATAAGAACACTTATGATCATAGAACTGAACTACATCGATTAACAATCTGTTAAAATACTGCTTCAAAAATTTATAATTAGAATTGTATGTTAATTATGGTCAAATTAACTATAAACAAAACATTACAAGGTTCTTCTAGATTAACAATTTAGCGAATCAATCAACCAATTTATCCAGTTTTCAATTTGAATGAGAAGAAAAATGAGGGAGACAAATTATGAAGAGATAGAGCTCATGAAAAATTTATTATTTTTTAGAATTTTTTTCTTCTCTCGATTCTTCCCTCTATATTTTCCTCCATGGTTGCACGGTGGGATTATAGAAACTTGATTGGTAGGAAAGGGCACATCTCACAAATGATGCTTTCACTGCACCATCATCTAGACCCTTCCATGTACGATTATCCTTGCCGTCACGTCCTTTTTTTTCTTCGAATTTCTTCTCATTGATTAGAGAAATGGCATGCCACTTCCCAATATTTGAATTTAAACTTTGTTATGCCCTCGTACCAAAAATGCAATTTCCTTATGGCCCGCGGTCTTGGAGGTCAACGCAAATCTTACAAATAAAAAAACACAAGACAAATGGAGTTTAGAGAGAAGGACAAAAAGCTTTTAAAAGAATAAATTAATTCAACCAAGTTTTAAATGTTAAATTTTATAAATTTACAAGTTTCACTTTTAATTTTACAATTTTAATGTAATGAATTTATAATTTATTTTTTAAAATTTATCATAATTGAAAAATAAATACATTTATTTTTTCTGTTAAAATTTTGAGACACAAGTTACAAATTCATCATAATGAAATTGTAAAATTGAAAATTGAACTTGCAAATTCTTGACGTTTGATATTTGGAATCTAAATTAAATTAATTGATCCTTTTAAGATTTTTTTATCATTCTCTCATTAGAGTTTATACAAATGTATTGATTTTTTGAGTAAAAAGGGCAATTTCATTAAACTAAATAGAGCGATAGAAACAAATAAAGCTTTACATAAGAGATGTAAGATTAAAAAAACATCTACGAGTATGGTTAACAATAACTCTAGCCTGAGAAAGAACACCATTTATAGCATAAGTTTCATTAGTGAAAATTCAACGGTTACAAATATCCTAGAATTTTCAACGAGTGATGCTAATGCCAATCTTTCAAGAAATATCCAACTAAGGGTTAAGAAGCTGGGCAGTGAACCATGAAGTCAACTCTCAACCAAAGAAGTCGTGTAGTAAATTTGATGGTAAAACTTTCTTCTAAATGGAGTTTGCAAAAGGGCAGCCTTTTAAAGCATGGCTAATAGTTTCTACATGTATGCATTAAAGAGGGCAAGTGGGATCATCTGTCATACATCTCATGTGTCATTCAAAGCTAGTGAAAAGTTTGCCTTTAATCATTAACCATATAAAATTTTAGACTCTTTGAGCTATTAGCAGCTTCTAACTCTTGGACCAGAGTTTATAGGCTGAATTCCAATCAGAACCTTATATAGCAACGTAAGTTGATTTAACAATGAAAGCACCATTACTAGTCAAATAAGCTTACTAAGGCACAAGCAATTTGTTGAAGGATATGCTGAGATAGCAAGTGTTCAAATAAGTTCTACCTTTACTGCCCGTGATCAACAAGAAAATTTGATATTAGTTTAAGTGAGTCTAACTTGCTGATTTTCATACAAGATAGTAAGCACAGAAATCCTAAATCTCCTCCTTAGAAATTAGACCAAAATTTTATACCGCTTTTATTCCTTGAATTCCATTTAATGTGCATAACAACATCTTGCCAAAATTTTGAGATATTCCTCCAAAAATAACAGCAATGGCTTCTAGTGACATCTTAATTGGGTATGATTTAGAGCTGATACTTTACTTTGAGCATACATACCCATTGTAAGTTAGGTTTTGTGAAAATCTTGAATATCAATTTGGAGAGGAAAGCTTTATTTTGAGCTTTCATACTAATTAAACCACATCTATGAATAAGAGGCTATCAAAACTCCTTCCAATTAACTAAACTAATTTTACGATGCTCCTCATTATAACCCTATATGAATTTTTGAATGATCTTTTTAGTTATTTTTGAAAAAGTAGCTGGAAGGGCAGTACTTTACAATGTATACAAAGGGATGGAGGCTAAGACAGATTTCACTGAAGTAATGTGACTTGCTAAAGAGAGAGACTTTGCTTTCCATCCCACTAATTTTTGATGAAGCCTTTCAACAATATGGATATAGGTTGTGCTTTTCACTCGACCAGGAAGTAGCAGCACCTCTAAATGGCAACTAAAGGAATTAGTGCACTTGAACCCCAGTTTTTGGCATATCTCCTTAAAGGTTGATAGATTACAATAATGGAGAAGTAAAATTGAGTTTATGCTTGAGTCATAGATTGACCAGATGAGAGATAGAATTTATGTAACACACGTTTAATCACTTTAACTTGGGAGTCAGATACCTTACTGAAAAGTGCCAAATCATTAGACTAAGAATAAATGAGAAAGAAGAATACCCCTACATCCTATCCTTATTATTTACTGATTTTTCTATTAAACCTAAGCTAAGATGGCATGGGAAAGGTGTTCCATGCACAAGACAAAGATGTATGGTAAGAGTGAATCACCTTGTATATTGCCTCATATGGGGAGAAAGCAGAGAAAGGGTTACCATTCCATAAAATCTACAAGATAGAGGTGGTTATACAATTCATGATAAGATTGGTCAAGTGATTGGGTATCATGACTTCGTGCAGAATATCCTTAATAAAGTCCAATCAAAGCTTATTAAAAGATTTTTAAAGGTCAACCTTAATAACCATCTAGCCTATTTTTGGTTTCCTCTTCCGCATTGAGTGCATTACTTCTTAAGTTATAAGAATGTTATCAATTATGCTCTTCCTTGGATGAAACTAATATGATATGATTCTATGACTTCAAGCATAATAGGTTTTAAGTGATTGACAATCAAGTTAGTAATCACTTTATACACAACAGAGCAAAAGTTGATTGGGTGAAATTCTCTAATGTGTTAAGGTTTGCTAACTTTAAGAATTAGAGCAATAAGAGTATAGTTTAAGGCTAGTTCAAGACTATCACCTGACCATGAATCCTTGACAAGGTTGAATAGGCTACCCTCTTATAGTGTCTAACTTGTTTTGGAAAAATAAAGCATGTAGGCTATCAATTCCAAGTGATATAAGTGGTTTCATTTCAAAGATGGTGTGTTTAACTTCCTCTATAGTAACCATTCTACCCAAACTAAGCAAGAAAAGGTTCAAGAATAGGAAAAGCACCTGAGATAACCAAAAAGGTAAAAGTTACCTTATTTAGATAGTGAAGATTTTGGAAGAAATTGATTGCTATCGTCAAGAGTTCTTTGTATTGGGAGATACATTCCCTTTGATCCATGTGCAAATGAGAAATGTGATTCTGTCAATGTTAGATAATTGCTTAAGTGTGATAGAAAGAACTATTGCAGTCATCTAAGTGTAACATCCTAGAAATTTAAACCTAAATAACTAAGCTTAATGAGGGTAATTAAATTTATTAATGTGGTGTATGGATGGAGAGGTTTAATTAGTGTGTTTAATTATAATTTCAACCCTAAATACAGGTTTGAAGTGAAGTCGGGCCATCTAAGTATCAAAAGTTAAGAAAGAACTGAAGTAGGGTCCTCTGTGTCATATGCCGTAGCGTAAGGGACGTCAGGCGCAACGTATAAAGGAAACCAATGAAGGATGGGCCTCTCTGTGTCATGTGTCGTGGTGTGGGCTATATGCGCCATAATGCATGGCCAAATTTCTGCTTAAACTAGTGTTGCTCTGTTAAAACAATCAGAAGAGAGGAGAAAGGGAAAATGAGAGCACGCCACTACCTTTGTTAAGGCACGAATTTAGAGATCATTAGGGATATTTTAGAGCTTCTTAATGCCAAGGTAAGTGTATTATGCTTCCCTCTCCCCTTTCCTTTCATTTTCATGAAGGCTAAAGTTAGTGCTTGAGTTAGGAGAGTGTTTTTCGGTTCATATGAGCTATGAGTCTAAATGTATTAGCTAAAATAAATATAATGGGAGTTGATAAGAGTATATAAACCTCACAGTAATGATTTTGTGAACCGTTAGTTGTTAAGGACTATTAATATCCAAAAATTTATATTTATAAGGGTTGTTAGGAGTGTTTAATGGCTATTAATGATAATAGTTGACTCGTTAATGACAATGTGGGTATCGAAATTTAGTAAACCCAATGAATATGAATGAGAGTAGGTTTATGATTTTGACAAAAGGGAGAATAGGGAGTTATAATGTTGAAAATTGCTCAAATATAGGGTTATGATGTTATCCTTGTGATATAATTGTAGATTGACTAAATTGGCATCATTCAACCTTAAGAAAAAGTTTTGGAAATGTATGTTTTGAAGGGTAAACATTTGACCTTTTAAAAATTTGAGATAACTGGAGGATAATCTAATTTGTATAGTTATTAATTATTTATTTATTTATTGAAT